TCTCCCTCTCTCTCTGCCCCTCCCTCGCTTGCACTCTGTCTCTCAAAAATATATAAACATTAAAAAGGGGTGGGGGTAATGTTATCAGTAACATAAATGAAGAGCACCTAAAAGCTGGACACTACCGTAACCCCTTTTCTAGAAAGTAATAAAAATGAGTAAATCAAATGAAAAATAGAAAGCAAGAAGTTCCCAGCAATGACCTATTAGAAGACTGCTGTTATTATGAACAGAATAATACATTAATACATACATTTCTGGAAAACAGAAGAAAATGTTGGTAAACCAAAAAGTGCTTTTATCTTTTAAGCATAATAGTCTTCAGATAAATTACAAGAGATTTACTTTAACAACTGAGAGCAAGCTAACTACATGTCATTAATGAAATGTAGCAGAACATTTCATCTAAAAACAAAATCTCTGACGGCTTTCAAACTAGCTACAGTGCAAGCTCAAATACATAGGATTTAAGAAAAAATTCAGGAGTCACTTCTTTTATGTCCGAAGAAAAGTTTTTCTACCTACCATGTTTCTTCCACCATCCTCACACTTCCTCAATAATCCTTCGTATCTGCAATCCCATTTGACCACTACTGCTCACTTCTGCTACTAGATTGATGGATTTTAAAATTACATACTGTACTACACTTCCCCTCTTAATTCTTTCCATTACCCAATCTACCCAATCTACCATATCTCGTGGTAACTATGCGGGATTTTAAGAACTTGTGCTTAATCTCAAGATCACATTGTTTACCATGTTTAGTGTTTACACAGAGACTCCTGAGGGCTGCCTGGGTGGCTCAGTTGGTTAAGCATCCAACGCTTGGTTTCAGGTCAGGTCAGGATCTCATGGTTTGTGGGTTCAAGCCCTGCATTGGGCTCTCTGCTGACAGTGAGGGATTCTCTCTCTGCTCCTACCCTGCTCGTGCTTGCTCGCCTGCTCTCTCTCAAAATAAACAGATAAAAGCTTAGAAAAAAAAAAAAAGACTCCTGAGGCTATGCCCAATCCACTTCTTAAATTTTTAACTAGTAATCACCCTCACTCATTCTATGTCAGATGTTGTTTTTCATAGTATCTGGTTTTGAAGGGTCCTCCATACCCTCAAAATCAAAGTCTCTTGAGTAATCCCAAATTAATCTTAAGAAGGGGGGCAAATCTTATATGGGGCCTTTAGAGTCCCTATTTGAAAAAGAAAACAGAGACATATAGACAAGGTTATAAAGTTGTCTACAAAGTTGTTGTATTTTTTTCTTTTTAAAAAATGTTTATTTATTTATTTTGAGAAAGACAGAGAGAGAGTGGGGGCAGGGTAGAGAAAGGGGAGAGAGAGAATCCCAAGCAGCCTCTGCAGTGCAGAGCCCGATGCAGGGCTTAAACTCATGAACTATGAGATCCTAACCTGAGCCAAAGTCACACACTTAACTGACTGAGCCACCCTGGCGCCCCTATAAAATTGTTTTAAACATTAACCTTCAGTAGACTTTCTTACCAGCTATGTCAGGTATCAGTAAATGCTTACTAGTGGTGACAATAATACCTACAGTGACATTCTTTTACCCCTAAATGTTCCAAATGGATGCTGGTTAGAGGAGTGAGATCCTTAAGTCCCATGAAGTTACAAATCGGTGGCCTAGCCGACACATGGAAGAAACACAGGAGCAAAGCAAGATAGCACATTAAGCATTTAGAAAGAAAAATGTAGGTGGGGCACCACAGTGGCTCAGTTGTTAAAGCATCTGACTTCAGCTCAGGTCATGATTTTACAGTTTGTGAGTTCAAGCCCCACTTGAGGTAAGCCTCACTTCTCTATCTCTCTGTCTCTGCCTGTGATTCTCCTGTGATTCTCTCCCACTCCTGTGATTCTCTCTCTCTCTGCCCCTCATTCACTTGTGTCTTCTCTCTCTCTAAAAACAAAAAAAACAAAGAAGAAGAAAAAGAAAAAAAAAAGGAAAGAAAAATGTAGATAGGAATAGAAAATGGGGTACACATGAGTCCCCCACCAAAATAACACGAGTCACTCTCGAACTCCAGAAGTTTTCCACGTTTGACTAACCATGACCTTGGCAAAATACTGGGGAGGGCGGTGGGGTGAGAGGGACACCTAGTAACATCACCTGGACATTTATAAATGCTTCACACGCATGCAGAGAGGCACTCAAAATACTTAATAACTGGTGGCATAGGCACCAATCCTTCAGAACGGACACTAGTCAGTAAGCCATATGTGGTGCCAGCCCTGGACTAAAGAGGACAGGGCTCACAAGATTTGAGGAAGAAAAAACCCTGTACCTTCATATCAAAGATTCTTGTTTGCTTGCCATTTTTCACTTTGAAACGCCTGGGTGGAAACAGAGGGCAGATGTGGTGTTCATGCAGACTAAGGGCTGATGAGGAGGGAGCAATCCTTAAAATACTCCACAAAAACCAATTTAAAAACAGTATGGCCACTGTCTTGAACTATGTACCAAAAGCTTGGGAACTTAACAAAGGCACACACTGAACATGCCTTATAAGAGACAGACCACTAAACCATTTGTAGATGGTAAATATTTAATTTTCAAACTGTGAATCAGGTGTAGAGGAGTGTAAACAAATTATGAGTATTTACTTACAGGAAAAAAAAAATCAAGGCAAAGCTGCTGAGGCAGAACTACTCATTCTTATTTCAAAAGACTAGCTTTTCGCTCATGGAGGGACTTAACTTTCTGCTGGATTCTCCAATTTGGGGTGTGGAAAACTGAGTAGCTGTCCTGCCCCAGTGGAGTGATGAAGTACTATCCCAGGGCCTACTGGCTAGTAAAGATTTTAAGAATGCCTGGTTCAGTAAGAGAAACCCCTCTCTGTTGTATCCAGTAACAGAAATTAAGTCAAAAAGAAATTATTCCAAATTTCCCACAACAATGAGGAGGAGATGCGATCAAGTCCACATTCCTCATACTGGTATCTGGGACTGAACCAAAAGGAAGCAAAGTCACCTTTACAAAATAAGAACAACAAATTAAGAACAGTAGTAAAATGTGTCAACAGTGTTCTGAGGCTCCAGATGAGAGCAGTTCTGAGCTGTTAGATACGAAAATTTGGCTTTGGGACTACATAATGTCAATTTACCAAATGGTTGAACTACGCACCTTATAAGCAACTTTAAGCATCCAACTAAGCAGTGTGAATGAGAATAAAAGTGAACCTGTAGTACTCACAGCTGTAACAGCAGGGCTGTAGCAGAGATAAAACAGGACAATGGTTAAGTAGGGACTCTACAACCCAGAGGGACTCTGGCTGACTTCAAACACCAGGCTCTGCCCCTCAGCAGCTGTATGTCCTCGGACACCCTATTTCTTGAGTTTCAGCTGATTTGTTTTGAATACATTTAGGGCTTATTAGTTGATGCCATGTGCAATTGCTTGTGCCAAAATTCTCCAAATCCCAGACCTACAGTTCCATTTCTCATCTCTCACTTTATCTATTATTACCAATAGTAAAGGGGGGGAAGGGTGCTCTTTTGGGTGTACTTTATCGTTTCTTAAAAGTTGAATATATGCTGACTCAGATGTCAAGTTAAATGCCCAAAAAGCTTTCAAGGCAAGATTTCCTTTGTGCATTATTCCAGGTCTTTGGCTCTTAGCCAGTTGGGAAAGATTAGAGTAGAAGGAACTTGTAGGGACCTTAGAGCTCCGACCAATGAACCAAGAGATCTGACCTAATAAAAACAAAGTAAGCGATATGTTACAATGAGATGTGACAATGGATTATTACTTATGACTTAAAAATTTAAAATTTCATTATGAAGGCATTCTTGTAGAAGAAAAATTAAGCAGGTAGCAAGAATACCTGCTTTTTAGAAAGAGCTGTGCTTCAGGGTGGGGTGCTTTTAACCTGTTCACAGTACATTTGCTAAGGGCTCCTGAATTTGGTCAAGATTCCACACTGTGCTTTTAGCAACAGGGCGAGAACGGCTAGTGTGAATAAATGAAGCGTGTTATCTTGCACACATGCAACCTCCTAGGATGTGTAAAACTTGCTGTTAAAAGAGCATTTTAATAATTATTATGCAAACAGTATCAGTACACTTAGTAGGAGACAGAGGATAGTGACCTGGCTTTACTTTTGTTAGAAATGATGTACGTTAACACATCACTTTAGATACAAGGTTTCTTCACTTACCACTTCTGTTGATGTTTCTGCATGCTCAGAAGTAACATGTTCTTGGAGAGATGTCTCCGTATAGCCCATTTTTCCACAATAGGGACAAGTAAAAGACTGTGGCTGCTCTACAGAGAAAGCTTCCCCACCATAGTACAAATCTGAAAAATAAAAATGGAACTGCAGTGAGAAATAATAATTATTATTTTCTTTTATCACATGAAAATGTAAACATATGGTAGGTACAATAACGTAAAACAACAGTGTCCCTGAAATCTCCAAAAACCTCACCCTGTCAAAGAGTGCTTAGGTACCTCATATGTGCAACATCCTTATTTTGCCTGGGACTCCATGCCACCCCTCCAAAATTCCTTTTTCACCCACATAGCTATTATTTCCTTAAGAGAAAAACAAACAGGGACACCTGGGTGGCTCAGTCGGTTGAGCATCCGACTTCAGCTCAGGTCATTATCTCACATCACAGTTCGTGAGTTCAAGTCCCGCATCTGGCTCTGTGCTGACAGCTCGGAGCCTGGAGCCTGCTTTGGATTCTGTGTCTCCCTCTCTCTGCCCCTCCCCTGCTCATGCTCTTTCTCTCTCTCAAAAATAAAGAAAAAATTTTTTTAACATTTGTTCGTTTTAGAGAGACAGAGACAGAGCATGAGCAGGGGAGGGGCAGAGAGAGAGGGAGACACAGAATTGGAAGCAGGCTCCAGGTTCTGAGCTGTCAGCACAGAGCCCAAAGTGGGGGCTCAAACCCACAAACTGTGAGATCATGACTGAAGCTGAAGTCAGATGTTTGACTGAGCCACCCAGGTGCCCCATCTCTCTCTCAAAAACAAATATACGTTAAAAAAATTTTAAAAAGAGAGAAAAACAAACAACTTTTTATCCTTTCATTTAACTTTGAATATTTTTTAAAGATATTTTTAAGTAGCCTCTATACCCAATGTGGGGCTTGAACCCACGACCTTGGGATCAAGAGTTACATGCTCTTCTGACTGAGCCAGCCAGGCCCCCTCCCTTCATTTAATTCTGAAACATCTCTCATTTCACATCTAGTTCTAATTTTACTGTAATTTATTTTTTCTTTATCTCTGTGGCTACTGTACCAAAGCCAGTATCAACACAAAGAAATCAGCAGAGGGAGAGGTGCCCAACTGGCTCAGTCGGCAGAGTGTGTGACTCCTGATCTTGGAGTTGTGAGTTTAGTTCTCTACATTTGGTACAGAGATTACTTAAAATAAAATCTTAAAAAAAAAAAAAAGAATCAGCAGGGCATATCATAATACAAGAACACAAGTGCTCGGAATAGGCAAATGTGATCAATATGCCAAACCCCAGACGCAGCTATCTGTCTAAAGCACACACCATTCTTACAGCAGGAAGGACCCTGAGCAAAAATGCTAACTTGAATGGAGTACTACCACAACAGACTCTGTCCATGTTGGTTACTGAAGAACTGATGAATTAGTGATATTCTATGGAAATAATCTGTTTGCCTCATTAGTACATCTCAAGAAATAAGTTTATTTTTCTCCATTAGTAACACAAAAGGAAATGCATTTGAAAGTATATTTAGTATGTTATGTCACTTCATTCCAAAGAACTATACTTAACATGAAACAAATGCTTAATTTAATAGGATATGAGGGGGCGCCTGGGTGGTTCAATCAGTTGGGTATCCAACTTCGGCTCATGTCATGATCTCGCGGTTCATGAGTTTGAGCTCTGCATCAGGCTCTGTGCTGACAGCTCGGAGCCTGGAGCCTGCTTCAGATTCTGTGTCTCCCTCTCTGCCCCTCCCCTGCTTGTGCTCTTGTCTCTCTCTCTCTCAAAAATAAACATAAGAATTTTTTTAAAAATAGCACATTATAAGAGAAAATTTTATAAGAGAGAACATTTGCTATGTGAGAGATTTGTTCACATTCATTTTTAGGAAGATTTAGGCTATCTTAAAAGTATTTGCCCATACACACTTGTGCACACACACTCACACTCACTCACACACACATTATTATATGTATAAGACTTGCCAGGTATATTTGGGATAGGTGGGGATAAATATATAAAAATCAATAAAACTTCTTCACTTGATAAAAGACATCTACAAAAAAACTATAGCTAACATCACACTTATTGGTGAAAGATTGGATGTTTTCCCCCCTAAGACATGGAACAAGACAAGAGTATCTGCTTTAGCCATTTCTATTCATTATTTTACTGGATGGTCTAGTAATTAGGCAAGAAAATGAAAGGAAAAGCAGCTAGAGGGAAAGGAAGAAGTGGAACCATTTGTAATCAGCAGATGACATGACCTTGCATATAGAAAATCCTAAAAAATCCAATTAGATCCTATTAGAACTAATGAACAACATCATAGGATATAAGATCCATACAAAAACCAATTATTTTTCTATACACATGCAGTGAACAATCCAAAAATAAAATTTTAAAAATACACTTACAATAACAAGAAGAATAAAATACTTAGTAACACATTTAAAGAAGGAAGTATAAAACTTAACCTCTGGTAATTACAAAACTTTGTTGAAAAATATTAAAGACAAACTAAACAAATGGAAAAACATCTCATGTTCACCAACTGGCAGACTTAATACTGTTGCTCTCCAAACTGATCTACAGACTTAAAACAATCCCCATCAAAATCCCAGTTGGCTTCTTTGCAGAAATGTGATGAGCTGATCCTAAAATTCTTTCATAGAAACTCAAGGTATCTAGAATACTCAAAACAATCTTGAAAAAACAAAAAACAAAACAAAGCTGGAAGACTCATACTTGTCAATTTCAAAGCTTACTAGAAGTTTACAGTAGTTAAGACTGTGGTACTAGCATATAGACAGATATATAAATCAATGAAACAGACAGAGACTCTAAGGAAAGACACATTTATGGTCAACCAACTTTCCTAATAGCTTTATTGAGATATTTCAGACATATAAAATTATGTATATTTATGATATACAACTTGATGTTCCGATGCAGTATGCACTGTGAAAAGATCACCATGTCTACATAGTTACCTGTGTGTGTGTTGAAAAAATTTAAGATCTGTCCTCCCCAAAAATTTCAAGTATACAATATAATATTGTTAACTATGGTCACCATACTGTACATTAGCTCCCCAGAGCTTATTCATCTTGCATAATGAAACTTTGTACCATGTGACCAATATTACACCAATCCCCTACCCCTCCCACCTCAGGTCAACTGATTTTCAACAAGAATGCCAAGACAATTCACTGCGTAAAGAATAGTCTTTTTCAATAAATGATGCTGGGACAACTGGATATCCATATGCAAAAGAATGATCTATCTCATCATTCCATATAAAAAATTAATGCAACATGGAGCAAAGATCTAAATGTAAAAGCTAAGGGGTGCCTAACTGGCTCAGTAGAAAGAGTATGTTACTCTTGATCTCGGGGTTGTGAGTTCGAGCCCTACACTGCATGTAGAGATTACTTAAATAACTAAAAAAAAAA